GACTGATGACAAAGCAGTATATGAAGTCGTGCTGCAGCCTGATCGTTTCCATGAAAGGTTGCTATCTTTGAAGGTGGTAATGCTCTTTGCTACTATTGTTGTAGATGGCAGTGGGCTCCAACAGCCCTTCCGAGACCGAGCATTGAAGCAACAGGGCGCGATTGACATTTAATAGCTACTATGTAGCTTCCGCACTTCTATTGTGCCGGAGGTGCTCAATTTGGGAATGAAGAAGATCCCGCAAGCTTTTTGCCATCGTTTGCAGTTCTGGAAGCTTGTCTTCAGGACCTTTCCAATCGATGATGTTGTCGAGCAGCGTACACCAGGATTTGAACTGCGAGGCACGTGTCAACAGCGACTGGCACACGTAGTAAGGCCGACGTACCCGTTCTACTCCAATCATAACATCCAGAGGGTGCGTGTAAGGCCAATTCTGCAGCATCAAATCATATTCCTGTAGTATCTGGTGGAGCATTCCACCCAATTTTTGCATGATTGCCTTCACAGCTGGTGAGAAACGCGTGACCACAGAATAACGAAGGTGGTTACGTACATTCAAGAGAAGATCCGCAACAGCACCATTGGCATCATAAGCGTCGAGCTTTAATCCACTCCAGCAACATGCTATCGACCTAAATGCCACATTGTAGGCTACGCCTATGGCCAATGGTCAGAACACGCTGTGCAATGTGTAACAGGCGAACTCACAGATATCGCCTTGGCCAAGGCACGTGTTCAGACGCAGAAGTAGTATATCCAAGAATACAGGTGAGCAGTTTTCATACTGAGTCTTCACCAGTTGTATCAGCCGCACAATCACATCGCCGCGTTCTATTAACGCGCAAAAATCTTTAGCATTAATGGGCGAGGTTGCATTGGAAAACGGTGACAGGTCAATCAGTATGTCAATGGCGCGCATGTTCATATACACTTTCAATACAGGCGGCAGCGTGTCTTTTAAGGTGGCCATCATGCTGTCCAGCTGCCGGGAATCAGATTGAATAGTCCACGCATACGCCTGTCGTACAAGGTCAATTTTTGTCCATGGCATCTGTTCCAGTCTAGAGGAGGTTCTTCAGGCTTTAGTAAGTACTGTGATTGAGATACGCACTGCCAGATGCCTTCTCTGGACAAAGGAAGATTGAATGCCTCCGACAAGAAATCCAGAGTGGCCTGGCGCAGCCGGTACGAGGCAGCGAGCAGAGATGTCACAGTATTAGGAGTCTGGTGTTGTCAGTCAAGATGAGAGCATATTCACCACAGCTCAACATTTACCTGACTCTTTACTGCCGCTTTAGAGACAATACGACCATCAATATCGCTGGCAATTGCTGTCGAGACTATCAGACGGATGATCTCAGGCAGGAGCTCGGGGCAGTGCGTCTCCATAGTGGCAATGCTGCAAGCTTTTCAGACCCTGCAGAGCCGTTGAGGTCATAGAAAGGGGATACGCACCGATCACAGCTTGGTCAGTGCAAGTTGGGAGCAAGCTGCCTGCATGACGGTGTCGTGCGGATCAGTTAAGGATTGTCGGGACTTTCCAAATATATATGTGAGCGTCCATCACCAACGGTGCATCAAGCGCTCCAAACTGGCCAACCGGTTACGCCGATCCTCAGGCCTCAGGTCCGAATAGCTACACGAAGTCTGAGGTGTTTTGCTTGGAGGTAGACCCATAAAATTCAGTCATACGCAACAAAATTGAACTTGTCCGCTGTCGCCAAAATGTGTTTCAGGGTGGGTTTATCCCACTGGAAAGATTAAGATCATATATTAATCGCGAGAGGGAAAATTACTAGGCCAATAACTCCACGCCATGAGGCTACAGGGCAGACAAGAAATCAAAGGTACATAGTCACATCCAAGAGACTAAACTAGCCGGGCGTTGTATACACTACAAAATCAGATGCGTGATTTATGAATTATGGCGCGCGTAGATGGCTAATTCGCAGCTCCGATGTCTTGTGCCTCAGGTTGTAAGACCTCAGGAAACCCAAGGTCTTTGAGCCACAGCCGGTAAATGCTCTGTAGCTCTTTTGCGACCTTCTGGAGCCCCGGCAGACTTTCACCTGGGCCATCCCAGTTGGCAATATCATTGGATAGGGCATGCCATTTTGTCAACTAGAAGACTTCTTGTTGTAGTATCTGAGGCTCCGGATGCGCATCAGCCGTGCAGGCAGAGATACTGACATGACGCGCTTAGGCCGTCATGCCCAATATGGATCTGTCATGCCCGTTTTAGATATGACCTGTGCAGAGCACTCTCGGCTCTGCGCCCCGTTATGTTTCCTTGCAGTCTCAGCTCTCTAAGGTACATTTTATTGGTCTGACCAGATTAGGAAGTAGATAACCTATATAAGAACATGTAGTATTATTCTAGGAATTTATCCTTGATTACTTGTGAATCTCCCGCCTGCGCGAAGTCTTTCACAACACTTATCAGCTCTAGGAGGGTGCATGCGAGACTCAACTTACCCGGTCCACACCAATAGCGGCACACATGGGAGTGGTATAAGACCAAGAGCGCAGCAGACGGCTATCAAGGTCGCGCATTTTGCATACCATTACGGTAGTATCTTGAAGCCTCGCCTTGATTGCGCCCATTCATGTCAGCGGCATGCAACGTGCCAGAGGGAGATGCATACGTCAAAAAACTCTGGAGTGATCACAGTGTCCTCTGTCCCAACATAGGGAGCATACTGTTTCACTTTATTCCAGACATTTTCTATCATTGTTATGATCGCTTGGTAGAACCCAGTTGTTACAGGAGAATGATGCATGCCCCTAAAAATCAATGCAGTGAGCTTACAGATATCACTCCTCATGGAACAGGCTTCCAGTCGCGGGAACAGCACATCTTGAAAAGCTGGAGGAGATTTCACATAATGATGCCTGAGCTCTGACTTGAGAAGCATCAAGATATCGGGGACATCAAGGTGCTTGATCTGCAGCTCAAGGGGCCGGAGCTCTTGATGGAGGGCCAGCTTGTTGATAGCATGAAGGGTCATGTATACACACAAAACGGGAGATTCTGGAGTTCCCCTGAGCCCAAGCAGCTCTGATAACTGTGATTTATGGGAGTTCGACATGGTGCCCCGTGCCCAGAATCGTTGGACAGGTTCAATTTTCGTCCAAGGCTTTTGTTCCAGCCTAGGATGCCAAGCCTTCCCGTTAGGCCTGCAAGATAAAAGACGGGAATTATATTTAGACAGCATACCGCCATAAGCCTTCCTTGGAGATGGGGAGAGCGAATGCCCTGGACAAGACTTGCAGAGTCACTTGGCGAAATTGGTACGAGACAGCTAGTAAGGATGCCACGGAATTTGATGTCTGACAAGTCTCGATCAGTCAGAGTGTAGATGAACGATGCTCAAAGCCTGACCTGATCTGTGGGCTTTGTCTCTTTGTTGGCCGAAGACGAAGGCCTGAGAATGAGAACATTGACATAACAAGCAATCGTCGTCGAGACTATGGCGTGGAC